AGGGAGGAGGAGGCAGGTTGAGCCAATTATGAGAAACAAAGCAGTAAGCAGACCTCCCATGGTTTCTGCATCAGCTTCTGTTTCTAGGTTCCTGCTCTACTTGAGTTCCTGTCCTGATTTCCTTTGATGATGAATAGTGATGTGGAAGTGTAAGCCAAATAAATCCTTTCTTTCCCAAGTTGCTTTGATCAAGGTGTTTTTTTTTATTTTTAATTTTTTTATCATAGCAACAGTAATTTAGTAAAAACAATTTTCTGCCGGCATTATCACCTAACCAGCCTAGCTAAATTTTATTTTGATTATTTTTAAATGATGTGCAAACAGACACTGGTTTCAATATATTGCAGCACTTTTGCCTAAAGCTACACATTCTATTTTAAGTGTTCTGTTCCCTGAAGCCAACAGTACATTTCATTAACCAGGGTCCCATAGCCTCTTTAACCAATGTCTTTCAAAAGGGCATTGCTATGGCATTGATTCATCAATTAAGCTGATTAATTATAGCATCAAAAGGATCCATTCAGAAAGGCACTGCTTAGCTGCGAAGATGGGAAGCTTTATATAACCTGCAACAAATAGATTACAGGGCTTTAAAGCTGATTTGGGAATACAAACTCTCTGGCTTCGGGAATGTGCAGAAGGGTTTCTGTTGATTATCGACTCACTGACCCATTCAAAATAATAAGTTGGAAGAATAAAAGTGAATTGACACTCCTGAAGGTCACAAGGATCAATTCCCCACCTCCTTCCAGAGACTACAGGCAGGTTTAAAAAGAAAGTACTGGTTGATGCAGTGTGTGTGGCGTTGACGGATTTGAAGTGTCTTGTGGCATAATCATTTGCAATACTTAAAGGACCAAGTCATGATGATGATGATGATGATAATGATGTGTGTGTGTGTGTGTGTGTGTGTGTGTGAGAGAGAGAGAGAGAGAGAGAGAGAGAGAGAGAGAGCATGTGAGTGTGCATGTGCGTGTCTGTGTATCAGTTTCCTTTGTCTTTCCAGTGTTAAGAACCATGACAAATCTGAAAGATACAGTGAGCTAATTTCCCTGCCCTTTAGCCATATTGTATACTATTAAAAAGTTGTAACACAGGGGGCTTTTTGAATGGCACCCCAAGTTTTTGTCATAATGTATATTCTTCTATGGAAAATACTTTAAAATGATACATTAAATTACTACTTGTTCTGGTAAGCTCTTGTCCATTTGACACAAGCTGGAGTTATCTGGGAAGTGTGAACCTCAATGGAAAAGATGCTTCTATCCAATAGCCGTTTGGCAAGTATATGGGATATATTCTTGATTAAGAGTGTGTGTGAGAGGGCCCGGCTAGCTCAAGGTGGGGCTGCTTCTCCTCAGGAGATGCTTGTGGGTGTATGAAAAAGCAAGGTCAGGAAGCCGTGAGGTAGAGCCAGTAAGCAGCTTTCTTCAATGGGCTCTGCTTTAGGTTTTGTGTCTAGGTTCCTGCCTTGCTGTGTTTCTCCTGGCTTCTCTCAATAACAGACATAATCATGATGTGTAAGCCAAAACAACAACAGCAACAACAACAACAAACCCAAACAAACAACCCTTTCATTTCCCCCCACTTACTTTACAATAGAAAGCAAACTAGAATAAGGCACTCTGAAGATGTCTTAGCATTCGTAGCCTCTCTATCTTTAGAGCGAGGACATTCCAAGACACCATTTTACTTAGTAAAGATGGAGCTACCTTTGAATCTGCATTGGGACCTGGTTAAGCCTCTAAACGTCTTGACTTCGCTCTTTCCCCTGGATGTTCATTTCATAGTCATACTGGCAAGTTACTTAACGGTTCAATATTTATTTCCCTGCAGCATGAGGGTTCTTGTAGTGCTCACCTAGTAGGGCTTTTGTGGTGATTAACGGAGGCAATGTAGATAGACTTGTTAGTACAACACAAGGATGGTCAGTATCAATGGATGCCCTCTATCCTAAGCTGTTATTTGGCATGGTTGCCTAGAGACTACACAGTGGTCCAGAGTTCTGCTCCCTGTAACTGTGATGAAAGGTAGCTGGCTTTTTAGAGTAGTGCACAGCAATTGCAAACTTGAATACAAGTCACCAGGAATACAAGTCACTAGGAATACAAGTCACCAGGAATACAAGTCACCAGGAATACAAGTCACCAGGAATACAAGTCAGGGGAGAAGTTGAGCCCGATCAGGCTTTCTCTTTGAGAAAACTTCAAACTTCAGTTGGAAAGAGGGAGAAGAACTTGGTGATAGAATAGCAACAGAATCCATACTGGTTCTGAGTCCCGTGGTGAAGGTCGGAGGAAATGAATTCCTGATTGCACCACTGCAGGCAATGATGAGACTCTTTTCAACAAAGGGCCGAGGAACTCAGCAGTTGGGGAGGAACGCAGGTGTATTGGAAAACGTGAAATCTTGAAGATGCTTTTTAAAAGAAGTAGGTTGTAGTGTATCATTGGGCAAAAAGGAAAATGAGCCAGACAGAGCTTATGGCCATCAGTAAACCTAAGACAAAGAGGTGAAGATAAAACATCTTGCTAGGCTGAAGGACCTGACCACAAAGGGTTGAATGGGCTGACAGAATACGATACTTTAGTGAGATTTTTGTATTTGAAGATTTTAGTTTTGGATGACTTCTAAATGAATGGTGCTACTAGCTGATGTTCTGCCTTAGTTATCTTGCTGCAGTGAACTACAAGGGGGCAGTTACAAATTATCAAGAGAAAGGCTGAATTTGAGATTTCAGTCCAGGACTTCATGGTAGGGACCACAGTCCATAGCTTCGGACCTGTGGTAAGGTCACCAGATGGCAGAGTCAAAAGCACATGTCTGAACAAATCAATCATACTGCAAGCTAAGAAACAGAAGGACTGAGACACTGGAGGTACCCTACAATTTTCTTCGATATCCTATCCCCACTGACCTAACGATCATACAAGGCCCCATTATATAAATGTTCACAGTACATTCCAATACTACTATCCTAGAACTGAGGGACCTTTGAGGGGTCCTGTCCACATGACTTAGTATGGTCTTGAAAATCCCTAGGAGGAGAATCAGAAGAATAGTATAGAGTCGAAGAAGTTAATCTGCAAAGCTAGAAGCTCAGCCTTGACATCAGTAGGGCTCAAAAGCACACACGAGTCTTTTGAGTTCTTGTTTAAGAAACAAATCTCTATTCCAGTTACGCAGGGCAGGGGAACCAGAGGAGATTTTTGGTCTTTAGAAAACATCTGATTGCTCTTAAAAGGAAAAAAAAAAAAACAAAGAAGAGAGAGAGGAGTAAAAGGTATGTGGGGGGTGTGTGTGTGTGTAGAGAGTGAGAGACAGAATAAAAAGAATACGCACACAAAGAGTTCAGCTCAAAGTGTATTTTGATGACCTCATAAATGCATATCTGGCAGCCAGTGGTGCCTACTAAATTTCATCAATTTTGGCTCAGGGTGTGAACTTGCTACCTCCTGTACATGATAGGAATAGAGGCTCAGAGACTCAGTTCCCTGTCTTCCTTATCATGATGTACTATGTCATAGCTACTACATCAGGGCTTTACTACATGGCAAGGAGAGCTGGAGGTTGCAGGTGGAATCAGAGATGTTAGTCAGCTCCAGAGATGATCCCTGATGATGATGGTGATAGGCAGTGTTCTCGGAAAGGCAGATGGGGGTGGGGGGAATAGAAGAGAGACAGAGAAACGTTACATAGGTAAGAGTCAACCAGCCATTGCTGGCTTTGAAGAATTCCGGGAGCTTGAAGCTGAAAGAGGCCAGAAAATAGATTTTAAGACAGCCAGAAAAGCATGCAGCTTCTTGATTTCAGCCCAGTGAATTCTGTTGCGGATCTCCAGAACTTAAGGCAATAAATCTGTGTGGTTTTAAGACAGTAAGTTTGTAAATTTCCACTAGCAAAACGCAGGAACCAGTGTCCCACAGAAACTCTTCATAGCTATGGTTCCTAGTGTGAAGTCTTTTGGCACTTCCATCTCTGGCCTTGCATTTTGGGCCCCTGGGGATGGTATGGCTGCCCTGACCCAATGCAAGATCACCTAGTATCCAGACATCTTGTTGAAGGCCTGTCTCTTTGGCTGTCAGCCCAAGTGACCTCCATACACGAGGCCAAATTCCTTCTGAATGGAGTAAGGGGGGTCTGTTTCAACCCAGAGGTAAAGAATTTTGGCTGGGTTATCCTGGAACATTCTCAAGATGCCTGGCAACTCCTGCTTTGTGGTATTCTCTCACTGAGGAGAAAATGAGTATCTGAATGGACACCCCAATACACACACACACACACACACACACACACACACAGACAGCTGCATATGTTCAAGGCCTGCCCTGTTTGGGCTGAAATCATTCTCCATGTAGCTAATGTGCTGCTGGTGGAGGCGAACTGAGAGAGACAGGTTTTGAAAAGAAAGCAGGCACTGACCTGCAGCCACAGAAGACCTCCCGGGCATTTGGTCCACTTACCCTACCCTGCAGATGAAGAGACTTGTCCAGGGGTCAAGAGAGTAGATTAGTTTGGATCATTTCCTGTGTGACTTGGCAAAGAGAAAAATCGCTTATTAGTTGTTAAGTGGAAATCTTAGCCTGCACTGGAAGAAGAGCCCAGTGGTTACTAGTGGGTGGGGAGTTTTGACAGAATAGGGTACATTCAGGGTCTGGGAGGAGCTAAGAAGGATGCTTAGTAGGGTCCCCTCTGGCCCATAACTCACTATTTGTGAGTGCATTTCACCCTGTGTAGGGGAAATGGGGGTGGGGCTGGAGGTTGTCCTAGGAACCTCTGACTGGCTCTTACTCTAGTTTCTTCCTGGCCAGCTTCTGGGGTCTCCCCTAGTTGGCCCGCATGCCAGGGCTCTGAGCCCGGAGGGAGGAGCTTGAGGGAGGAGGGCGTCCCCAAGGAAAACGTGTTAGCTGGCTGGAGGCCTGGCGGGTGGGGAAAGAGAGGGGTGGGGATCTGGGGTGGGCTGCGCCCCTTGGCTCTGACCCAGTCGACGCTCTGGCCTGCAGAAAGCAGAAGCTGTCAGCTCATTCACTCCCCTTACAGGAAAGGGGGAGAATAAAAGCTCTCTGGTCCTGCCTGCTTCAGAAAGCCACTAGAGCTTTTGGGCAGCTTGCGGGGCCGCTCCCTTCCCACGCCTGGACCATGCTCCGCTGCGTCTTCCTGCGCGGCCACAGGCGAGGACTCGATATCTACAGCTGAGAGCTAAAACTTTTTTTGACTTTTCTTTTCCCCAACAACTGAACCATGCCATGTGCTCAGGGAAGCTGGCTGGCAAAGCTCTCGATGGTGGCTCAGCTTCTTAACTTGGGGGCTTTTTGCCATGGGAGACAAAGTCAGCCCTGGCCGGTTCGCTTCCCAGACCCGAGGCAAGGTTAGTGGCATTTCTTTGTTTTTCAAACAGTGTGGTAGGACAGTGGAACTTGGTCTGTCCCCTTCCCCCACCAGGCAGGGCTGAACTCTAAGCCTTCTGGCCTGTCTAAGGAAAACTGGGCTGTGTGTTTAGGCTCCTGTCCTAGGGCTTAAGGATATTTCTCTGCACACTGTGTGTGTGTGTGTGTGTGTGTGTGTGTGTGTGTGTGTGTGTCACCCTGCTTTGAAAGACCCAAGAGTGTGCTCCCAGAACCCCCCTTTCAGCTTCCCCCTTTGCAGACTGTGACATGGAAAATTATTTTTATTAAAGAGATCCAGTTGGTCACAGGCAATCAAGGCAATGTTTCCTTAATTTTAAACCCCGGGTCTGGAAGGAAGAAATTTTATTCCGGCCTCCTGCTGAGCACACTTGCCTGTGTTTTGGTTCCCTGGAAAGATTTAGGTTTGTTTGTTTGTTTTTTTTTTTCCAAATGACATTCCTATTGGGGAGAAATTTACCTCCTGGGGACTTGCGGTTGTCTGTCCTGCTTTGCAGACTTTTTCTCTGTCTAAATTTAGTGATCCATGCGTGTGTTCTGAAAGAAAGCACTGGGAGACCGTGAAGATAGTTTATAATTGTGTTTCTACTTCCTCCCATTATTATTATTATTCATAATGTCCAGGACAAAGTCGTGTTGTTGCTTCTATTTTTGTTATTTTTTTGTTTGTTTTTATTTTTTAAATTGAACGTAAAAGAGTTTCCTGTTCAGAGAGGACTACAACTTTGAGGTGTTGTTAGAGCAAGGGGGTGGGGCATTGGGGGTACGGGAGTGTCTGAGCACAGTGATGAGTGATGGCCTGTCAGCCCCTCCCACTAATGACAGTGCCCTTCTGGGCTTCTGGTTCTAAGGCTACCATGCCTGGTCTGTAACTTGGGGACCTTATGACCTTAACTGTGAAACACAGTTTTGAACCAGGGATCCTACTTAAAATCATAGGGCCATAGCATGATAACAGTAGCAGACACACACACACACACACACATATATATATATATAGAGAGAGAGAGAGAGACAGAGAGAGACAGAGAGAGACAGAGAGAGAGACAGAGAGAGAGACAGAGAGAGACAGAGAGAGACAGAGAGAAACAGAGACAGAGAGAGAGAGAGACAGAGAGAGACATGGACTTGTCCATGTTTAAGGGATTGCTAGGCAGTGTGTTTTGCCCACGTTGCAGAGTGAAATGCTGCTGAGGAATTCCTCTGTGGTGGCTTAGAGAGCGACCAGATGCAAATCCCTCTCTCCCTTTGCTTTACTTGGAAGCCAGAGTGGGCAAACACTGGGGTTAGATGTCAATCAGCCGGCACTTGCTTGTGTAAACGTTCCAGATACAATCTCAAGCCCCCAAGTTTAAAATAGCAGCTTTTGTTGTTCTTTGAAAAGCAGTGCCTTTGTGTAAGGTCCCTGTTCTGGGGCAGCACAAACAAAGCCCCCAGCACTTCCCAGGGCATGCAGAGATGATTTCCTTCAAAGACACATTCTCCTGGGCGAGCTCTCTGCTTGCTTCGCATATTTGTAAGGGAAAATTCATCCTCTGTAGAGCCCACACTGCTGGGCCTGTCTTGTTGCTCTAGAAAGTGGGCTATGACTCTTTTCCCTAGTGACCTTTGGGGATATGCTGAGAATATTTGATATTCAAAAGTGGCTTTAAAGTTCACGGAGCTTATTAATCATGCAGATGTATTTAGATTTAAAAATGTTTCCAGTTTTTAAAAGCATCGATCTTTTCGTCAGCCTTCATTAATGCATTTACAAATAGTTCATTCTTTAAGCTGAGAAGAAATTTCTCTGTGGATTTCCATTAGAACTGAGGAGCAGGGGAGGGGAGGGGAGGACAGTTAGAGAGGAGGGGAGAAAGAGAAGGGGGAGGAGAAGAGAGGAGAGTAGAAAGAGGAGAGCCAGAGAGGAGAGGATTAATGGTAAGACATTCTAAAGTTCCCAGGGAGTAAACCTGGGTTTGACCCCAAAAGGTCCTTCTATTTCTGCTCTGACAGGATTTTTGAGTTGTACCCAAATTCTAAATATTCAGAGTTACAAATTCAGAGATCATTTCTCCTCGTCCCTGTTTTCACAAACCGGGCGCATTTACACGTTCCTATTGAACACTTAGGAAGTTCTGCTTAGCCAGGAGTTGTGGGGCAGCTTACTGTTGGAAAGGGGTCTATGCACTCTACCTTGTGTCTTCTTTCTAGGTCTCAGGTTTGCATAGAATTTTGACTTTAGTTCTGGGCTGGGCTATATAGTTCAGTCCTAGAACACCTGCTGAGCAGGCGTAAGACCCTGGGCTCCAGCATCACAAAGACATAAATAAATAAAGGTTTTGGTACCCAGAAAGAGTATGATGACAATTCTAATCCTTTGCAGGACAGACTGAACTAGTTCTGCAGAGCTCTTTCCCCACACCAGTCAGTTGGTGTAAGGATGTGTTGTGACTTTGCCAGTGTTTCTTGATTTACAACCAAATAGCAAAGCAATAAGACACTTGGTTTTGCACACAGCACTCTTCCTCTCTTCCATAACCAACATGGGCCCCCAGATTTAGTTTTCTTGGTACAGATGCTTCCTGACACGTGATGTGGTCAGAAGTTGAAAACACTGTTGTCTAAAATACCCTTTAACACACCCAGCATATACCACATCACAGCTTAGCAGAGCCATACAGCTATACTGTAGTGTGTGGGTGGTCACCCTTGGGATGACGTGGCTGACTGACTTCTAGATCTCACTCCTGCTGCCAAGATCCATAAAAGTAGCACACTCAATATATCTCATCCAAAAAATGATCGAAATTCAAAGTTAATTGCCTTTGTAACATTATAGAATGAGAAACCAGAAGTAAGGCTTTGTCGATCAAAAGCCACCTATGCTATCTTCAAGCCACTCGTCACTTCCATGTTCTCTGTTGCTGTCTGTGATGTTGTCACATCTTCAGGGCATGTACTTTACCTCATGTTGGAGATGGGCCCAGATTACATATAGACCAATAGAAGATCATGGAGAAAATCTGTTATAGTTCATTTCTGCTATGTGGAAACAAATCTACGAGAAAGAAATGACTCTAGTGCTGTTATTTGTAGGAAGTGATTTCACAATTATGTCACTTTGTGTTGTTTATAATAAATAATCTGGTCAGTAGATATATTATTATGTGGTTACTAAGCAAAGTGAGCCTCCTATGGGATATTTTACAATTTTGAGAGGACTTAACAATGTATGTGGATTTCTATAATGAAATAGTTGCACAGTGAGAACAACCTGTGGAAGATAATTAGAGAAACAAGCCTCTATTATAGTACTTTTACCAGTTTTTAAAATAGTCTAAGAAATTCAACTACTATTAATAGAAATAATTGAGAATAAATAAAGACGTGCCTGCCCTCTTTATCAGCAGTCATACCAAAATTGGAGCTATACAGAAAGGATAAGCATGGTTGCCAAGCAGAGATGATGCACTCATTCATGGGTTAGTCCCTAAACCAACATATAGATTTAACATAAACTTCATGGGGAACAAGGTGAACATTCTCACATCATCCAATTTTCTTCCTAAGCTGAAGGCAAGTGACTCCTTGATGTCCTGTCTTTTCACATTGCAGTGTACCCATGGGCTGCTCTCAGAACTTCTCATGAAGTTTTTTTTTTCTATACATTTCAAATAATTGAAGCTTGCAGTTTTCAAATCTAATTTTAATCAAGGCTTATCATTTGTTTCCACAAATCCCTATGTAGGCTGTGGTATATTATTAGTCTCTCAGTTCCTAGCCCTGCCCCGAGTCTTAGTGATACCAAGTGAATATCTGGTTGTCTGTAGTAGACACCTCGCACCCCTAGAGGCAGTGTGGGCAGAACTTAGAGGTGAGCTCTGCACTCAGACTTCACAGGTGTGTACCCAAGCCTCTCTTTTTTGTCTTAGATGAAAGGAGAAGGCAAGAAAAGTGTATTACTCCTTTTCTGTTTCTACCACAAAGTACCTGAGCTAGCTGATGTATACAGCAGAGAGGTTTATCTGACTCACAGCCGTGGCTTTTGTTGGACCGGACCTCATTAATTAAAGTTTCCTAAGGAACCCCAGGGATCTTCAGGTCTCTTCCTCCCCAGTGTTACGGTGGTAAGTAGACACCACCATATCAGCAATCTTACATAGATGCTAGAGGTTGAAGCTGGGTCTTCCTGCACTCAATTGGCTGAACTCCCTCTTAGTGCTCCTCCCCCCAGGGGACTGGATTTGAGAGAAGTGGTCAGTATCTTTATCTGGCACTAATGCCAGATGACAGTTACAGCCGTCTGAGGTCCCCACCCCCCATGGTGTTCGCCCAGTGCTCCAGCCTTTGCTGAAGTAAAAGTAGTTAAGAGAAGGGGATTAATTAGGATAATTAATTAATTAAGATAATTAATTATTACTTAATTAAGAATGATTAGTTAAGAGAATTAATTAATTAAGAGGATTAGTTAAGAGAAGTAGTTAAAGGAGGGGATGCCCTAGAAGCTAGTTGTATATCTCAGCCTACCTGATTATTCTGCTCTTAACAGGTCTGAATGTGGAAGGGCAGGAAAGTGACAATACTGGATTGGTCCAGATATTTCTGGAGGAGTGGATGGGAAGTAGTGTATGGGTGGGTGGGGGCAAGTCGGTCATACTCCTCAGTTCATAGACCATGGCGCTATCATCATTAATTTGTTGACAACTGCTTTTTTTTCTCATTTCTTTTTTTTCTTTTTCTTTCTTTCTCCCTCCCCTCTTTTTTTTTCATCATTTCCCATGGAAAACTCTTCAAATGATCTCCATATGTAGTTTTAGCTTGCATATGTTTTGGGAAACTTAATAGTGTTCGTGTGTGGGGATCAGTGTGTGTGTGTCTGTGTGTCTGTGTGTCTGTGTGTGTGTGTGTGTTCCATTAATACCAGTAGCCCTGTGTGAACTTTTCTCGCTTCTGCTTCTTGCTTTACATTAAACTTTGTTTATAAGATTTGTCCCTGTGTGGGTTGTGCTTAAATGTTGCAGGCCTGGACGTTTTACACTTAGAATGTTAGACCCTTGGTTACTTCCTGAAAGTGGACAGTCTGCGTTCTCACTCATATGTCATTGAACTATTAGAAGAATGGGTCCAAAAGAAATTAGGTTTGAAGGGATTTGTTTGTGAGGAAAACCTCTGTGTTGACTCCTATCAAATCCAGTTCCTTCAGGGAACATTACCGTGGACATTCACTGACTCATCAGCGTGTGACATACAGCTTGTGATGTAGAGATTCTGCCTCTGAAAGGATCAGGGAACACATAATATAATAAAGAAAAGGCAGTGTGGAGAGTGAGTAAGGGACTGAGCCTTCAGAGGAAGGAGATAGAACTTCAGTTGTCTGGGGTATTGGGAGAATGGAGAAGAGTTAGACTGTCTGTCTTCTCCTTTGAGGCAGGGTCTCACTATGTAATTCAGAATTGTCTCACGTTCTCTATCTTAAAGCATAAATGGGATTCTGATGGAATGCAAAAGACCTTATAATTGTGAGAATAATATGAGCAATATAATGAACGCTAGAAGGTTTCAGGTTGAATCTTCCATCGTTCCCCTCCCCTTCTGGTCCCTCCTCTCCCCTTCTTTTCCTTCTCCTTCTCTTCTCTTCCCTCTCTTCCCCTCCCCTCCATGACTTCCTGTTTCCCATTTTCTTGTTCTTATCCATCTCCTCTCTTTCGTCCCCTCATTCTTCTGCAAAACATCAAATTTGAGCTAGTCAAAGTGAGTTTTTTGGTCCATTGCAGGACCAACTGTCCCCACATGAATCCTTGTACCTCCTGGTACTTCGATGTTCCCAAATGGTAATGGATCTAATTAGTAGAGAGTTGTCTCGTGGGTTACACACTAAGGAAAGCAAACCATCAACGACTCAGTAAAGTGCATTTCCAGAGTGGTGGTTTTCATTGTTTGAGCCTCAGATCCAAGTGGGTTTCCTCTTCGTATTTGTTAAGTGTATTTAAAACCCCACGCCCATGAAAGTGCCCTGCTACATCACAGGCCACCGGGATGCTGTCATAGGTGTGAGGTTTGTCAGGGATCATGTGTGATGTGTATTTAGAGCTTTATCTGACGTGACATACATAACAGGAAGTTCTTGAGGACTTCAGCACTGCGAAGCCCTCTACTTCACATCAGTGAACCCTACCCTGGCAATGTCCAATTTGGCATGCTGATCCAGCTTTTTTCCTCAGAATATTCCTCTTGAATTAAAGCGCATCTTAAGTTGACTGTGACAGAGTAGATGATATCCGAAGTTCTACTGGATAGATCACCTCAGACTGCCACACACACTGAGGACAGATGCCATGCATATGTTAGATGCTTAGAGAGTTTCATGTTGACGGTATCAGTGTGGTGGGAACAGTCAAAGTCAGTGGTGGTTTTGCAAACAGCAAGCTGCAATCTCGGCCCCAAATGGGAATGGGTTTGTCTTGCTTACACTCAGCCTGGGTCTCTGAACTTTATTCTGTTTCCTTTTCTTTCAGAACACTTTATCAAGTCCCTGCCAGAATATCACATAGTGAGTCCGGCCCAAGTGGATGCCAGTGGCCATTTTCTGTCCTATGGCCTGCATCACCCTGTCACTAGCAGCAGGAAGAAGAGAGCTGCAGGTGGTTCCGGAGACCAGGTGTACTACAGAATTTCACACGAAGAAAAAGACCTGTTTTTCAATCTGACGGTCAACTGGGAATTTCTTTCCACCGGTTATGTCGTGGAGAGGAGATATGGGAACCTTTCCAGTGTTAAGATGATGGCTTCCTCAGGCCCGCCCTGCCATCTCAGGGGCACAGTTCTGCAGCAGGACACCATGGTCGGGATCGGGACAGCAGCTCTCAGTGCCTGCCAAGGACTGGTAAGTATCTGGCCCTTCATCTCCCTCTTCTGCCCCATATCTTATCCTGTAAACACTATAGTAACAGGTAACAGGTTCCCAGGGGACTGGAAACATGCTAAGAGATTCCCAAGGGACTCAAGGACAAATACTAACTGAGTCCTGTGGTGGGGGCAGCCCTGGCTTCTAACGGCAGGAGCTGGGAGAAAGTAGATGCTGGCAAAATTCAATCAGTAATGAGATGCAGAGACTAATGGGGGCGAGAGGTTTTGAGGAGGCAAAAAGAACAGCTTGGAACAAAACTGGAGAAACAGAAGTGGGTTTGAGTTGGTCTTAGTCTCTGGGAAAGCCCTAAGGGTAACCTGCTTGATTGACACTCTGTCTCACCTTGAATTAGAAAACTCTGATTAGGACTGAGCAAGAATGCCACTGATACTGACTATGGCTATTAGGATGTTGAGTATAGAGACTTGGTCATCAAACTTCCTGTAGGATCAGGAACTGTCAGTAACTTCTGCTGAGTTGTGTTTTGTTTTGTTCCCACCTGTAAAATGGAGGCAATGAGAAAACAGGCTCAGAGCAGGGGTTTGGAACCAATGCTAGAATATGTTGTTTTAATAAAGTTTTATTGAGACACATTGTATCCAACTGCTTACATGAGATCTGTGGCCACTTTTAATCTACACAGCAGAAGTGAGCAGTTGGCATAGGGATCCTAGTGCTCTGAAAGCTGAAAGCACCATCTGGCTTTAATGAAAAAGTCCTCCGAGTGCAGTTGTAGAACGTTCTAAGGAACAAAATGAATTAATATACAGCTAAATCTTAGAAGAACATTTAATAAATAACTATATTCAGTGAAGTCTATCTCCTCCTCCTCTTCTTTTAACATTCTAAAATGCATGGTTTGTGATGTGTCTTGTGTAAAGTCCTCCCTCCATCTTTTTTTTTTTTTTTTTTTGAGTGAACGCTTGAGGAAGCTTGGAAGTGCTGTATAGGTTGATGTAAGTTCTTGTACCAATTAATGTAAGTGTACATTCCCATTATTATACACTGTATCTCAAAATGTGACAAAGTTTGTTTTTCAGAATCTGAACCCATGTTCACACATTGTTGGTGCTGTGGGCTTGCATAGTAGAGTACTGGCTGAGCGTGTTCAAGGACCTGGGTTCAATCTCTAATTCTGGTAGACAAATAAAAGAATGTTAAAGATTGATTCCTTTACACCCTTACTTCTAGCTGCAACCAGCTACTGCATGAGAAATGGCTTAGGAATCATGCTGAGTTTTGCTGAGATTCCCCTCAGGCTGAGTAGAGGGGCCCCAGTACTCATAGTTGCCTATATGCTCACCGTCATGAGACTTCCTGTGGGGACCTGGGTTCTCAATAGATGATTCTTATTCTTCTCCTTCTCCTTCTCCTTCTCCTCCTCCTCCTCCTCCTCCTCCTCCTCCTCCTCCTCCTCCTCCTCCTTTTTCTCCTCTTCCCCTCCCTCCTCCTCCTCCTTCTGTTGTTCCACCACCTCCTCCTCTTCTTTCTCTCCTCCTCTCTCTCCTTTGTCTTCCTCCTCTTCTACCTCCTCCTCTTCCTCCTCCTCTTGTTGTTCCACCACCTCCTCCTCCTCCTCCCCCTCCCCTCCTCTCCCTCCTCTCCCTCCTCCCCCTTATCCCTCTCTTCTCTCGCCTCCTCTTCTTAGCTCTAAATCGGAGACAGTAGTAAAACAGGCTCAGAGCAGGGGGTGACACACTGTGGTGATCTGTTATTTCATGAAGATTCTTCATAAAAAGCATATGTCTCAGAGACTTGAAGGTTTTGGTAGCTCTGAGGTTTGCCAAACAAAATCACCCAGACATTCGAATTCTCACAGGAAGTGTTCTGTCTTTCCATTACTAGTCCTTCACTGAGAATTTCTGTTCTGCATAATTTAAACCTTTCTGTCTGCACACTCTGGTCAAGCAACATGTCAAGTGACTAATACACCACATGTTTCCCTATTTGAAATGCATCACTAGCCTGTTTTCTGGGACTCATGTTCATGGAAATCTGAGAATGCTGGTCTGGATCATTTGTTCTGAGCCCTGGGTCAATGCTAGGATCACCCAAGACCTCTTATGACATGGATGAAAAGGTCACATTTCTTTGTGTGCTGACAAAATATTCATGAAATAGGTAATTGTGTCCATTGACTGGCGTTTTCTGTCTGAGGTGTTGTGGTTTGATTGATCTGATAGTGGGGCCAGACTCCTGGCATTTGTAAAACTTCCCAGGTGAGGGTAGTGAAGAGGTGTTACTTAGAGAATGGGTCTTAATTAGCAACATTGGCCGGAAGTAAAGCAGCTAGCTGTTCTCCCCAGAGTAGTCTAACCGGCAGCCTGGGGTCAGAGTTGCTGCTCTAAGTGTCTCTACTTTCATTCCAGGGTTTTCAAGGGAAATTGCCTACTGAGCCTTATTCCCGCCTTAGGGATAAAATGCTAGGACATTATCAACTTCCACATCATCTTCAAGGGGCAGGGAATAAATACCACGTTGTGGACATTTTCAAAATAAGATTTCAGGTTCTTATTAAATACAAGAGGCCAAAGTGATAGTCATGGTGACAAAACTTTTAATGTTAGAGTCAAATTATTTGAGCAGTTTTATCAGAAACACTCTGACCGAATTCTCTTGGAGTTTCTCACATATAACTTAGCAATTAACGGGTGACTATCAAAAGATACCAAAAGCCAAGTAAGTTTTCCCCTTTGGTAAACACTCCACTGACTGGCTTTAAGTTTGTGAGATAATGTGACAACATTGATCAGCTTACAGTGATCCTGGTCAGAAGGAAGTGGATGGACTTGCATCTGACTTTACTTCACCACATGCCTGGAATCTGTCCTTTCTTTCACCTGGTGATGACCCCCCCCCAACACTGAGACTTATCATTTATGGACTGAAAGGCCTAGGATATACCATTCCAGAGGCAGAATTAGCATTTGGGAGGCCTTTCTTGGGAATGGGCCACTTTATGCTGTGCTAGTTCATTTTCGTCAGTACGACACAAACTAAGGATACAAGGGTAGAGGGAACTTCATTTGAGGAATTGCTTCCCCTCAGACTGGCCTATGGGAATTTCTTTGGGGCACTTTTTATGGTTGTTGATTGATGTAGGAGGGCCCAGCCCACTGCTGGCAGTCCTCCTCTGGAATAGGCAGTCTTGAGCAAGCAATGGGGGATAATCCATTAAGCAGCATTTCACCAGTCTCTGCTTCTGTTACTGCCACCATCTTCCTGACTTCTGCCTGCCCTGGCTTCCCTTGATGATGCTCTGTCACGTGGGAAACCATTTCTTTTCCAAGTTGGTTTTGGTCATCATTTTATCACAGTAACAGAAACTAAAACATGGGGACCAGAATATCTGCTTCTCACTCCAGGGTCTCAGCGATCTCACATTTTTTTTGGCTTCAGGTGTGGTCTTCTGTGTATGGCTTGGGAGGCTGGCTTTCTTGAAGTTGTCTATGAGGTTTCTTAATCTGCTCTGGAGCAGGACTAAATGGTTTCAAAGTGAAGACCCTCGAAGACACTCATAGAAAGCTTTGGGCCTGCTCTCCTCACGTAACATCCTCTCACACAGCCCAGGTCCCTATCACCCTGGAAACTGAATCCAGACTGAGTTAATCCATATCCTCTGCTGAGCAGAATCTATCATAATCACCTACCCCGTGTACACAATATGTTCATAAACTGTGAAGTAGTGGAGTTTGTTTTGCTTGAAACACTTAGTGGATTTGCTCTATTCTAAGCTGGTTGATGGAGAAAGCAAATTGTTGAACCAGTTTTATTCTGAATGCAGCCTCAGTAAGAGTTCTAATCCCAGTGGGCATGGTTTGGGGTTTGCTGCTAGCAGGGGCCTTAAGGGATTGGCCTCAAATGAGACCATTGTATTTCAGTTCATATTTCTGCACTGGAAGGGCAGTAAAAGGGTTAGATCCTCCTCTTCCACCACATGGAACCCTGTGTGTGATTTTATGGGGCACTCTACTCTACCAATCTCTGTGCTTATTCGTCTGTTTTCCTTAGTTTCTTGGTCACTAAAAATGTTTTTTCCATAACTAAAACATTTTATTTAATTCTTGGTCTCAGCCATTCTTCCACACAGTCTTATTAAATTGAGAGCTGGTCTTGACTCAGTCAATTCTTGTCTCCATTCCAGCCCTTGCTGGGGAAGGGCTGATGGAGGGTCTCCCTAAGGCCACCCAGCTGTGACTTCATTCATTCAGCCCTGGCACCCCATTTTCTTTCACTTTTGGTGCCCTGAGGCTTGCTTATTGGTATAGGTTGAAATGTATACTAAAATAGGAACCCACTATTTCCTAGGTTTTTTTTTTTTTGAGTCAAATTTTAAATTTGGAGTTAGGTGTAGATTCAAGAATGCAGAATGCTGTGTACCCTTGGCTCACATCTCTCCAGTAGTAACAATCTTGCAAAATCACAGAATTTTGACATTGATGCAGTAGGTCATGTCAAGCATTTCCATCACAATAATTCCCTCCTGTCCTTTGTAGTTATAACCATTTTTTCCTGCTTTAAGCTATTTTCCCTGTCTCTGCAATCTCTTCCATGTACCCTTTTATAATTATGCTTAAATCCACTACCCCCTTCTACTTCCTTCTAGTATGATACATGATACTTAAGTGTTGATTCTTTTTTCTTCCCTTTCTTCTTCTTCCCCCAGTCTCCATTTTTTCCTTTGCCCACTTTCCTAACCCCCTCTCGTTTATTTACCTAATTTGAATTTATCTAATTCTTCAGAACTATTTATTGGACGTCTGCATTTTCTCCATTAAATTGCTTTCCTGCTTTTACAGAAGTTACCTGAGAAAATGTCTGAGTCTTTATCTAAGTTTAGCTTTAATAGCCTACATTTACATTACTGTGGCTAGAGTAATTATACTTTAGTTTTTGAGAAATCTCCATACCACTTTCATAATGATCATTCTAATTTACATTCTCAACACTATACCAGGTACAAGATTTTATGTACA